ATTGATAGAGAAAACAAAAGTTATTAATTTTTAAATAAATTTTTTCATAAAGTAAAAAAATTATAAACTAATTGTACCGCATCAAATTTCAAATTTTTCTTTACGATAAAAATAATCATTTGTTGATTACTTCTCAACTCCTGCATTTTTTTTTATGTCTCCCATTGAGATTTTGAAATTTTCGATCTATTAGACGGCATGCGCGATGATCTAAATATTCAGTATCTTGTCTGAATGAGAAAGAGAATTTCTTTATTACACGAAAAGAATTTTTCTGGAAAATAATAACACATATGATATATGCGCATAATAGTAAATAAACATAGAATGATGTTTTTTATCTCAGCAAGTTGGAAACATGTAAAAATCAAGCAAAACTCCGCATTTACACACCACTGAATGGATTTTTAAAGACATTGTAGGCATATAATGTAATATTCTTTTAGAGATCGTCGCTATCACGATCGAAAGTCGAGGACATGTTTATTATTTAATTGCTTGCCTCGAAAAAGTTGTCATGTAGCGACAAAAATGTGGACCCTATCAATACTAATCCGGGGGGGGAAGGGCAATAACTAATCAGATTCAAAGAAATCGCGTACGTATAAATTGGCAGATTAGAGTGATTTTTGGGGTGGGTAGGGATATGATAACTCTCAGGAAGATATAAAAATCGCGAAATCGCTCTCAAAGACATAATTTGTTGAGCTCCTCGGACAATAGCCAGCAAAAAGTTAATTTATACTTGTTTGACTTTACTCGTATCTTACTCGACTGTACCGTAATTGACTCGTGTCTACATCCTGGATAATTTCAAAACAAATGGTGATGTATTTACCTTTATACGTGATAATAATCTGAACAAATATGACTGCAATGCCGTGACAGATGTCATCCTAAGAACTCTCAAGATCGAATTATCTCAATCTGCTTTCGAAGCATCATGATCTAAATTTTCAAATTTCTTGAAACATTTCAAAGCAAGATGGGCAGCAAGTAGATATAACGTTGAAAAATTTTGTAAAAAAAACGAGACATGGTTGAATAGTAAATTCTCATTCCCAGACGAGATACTACGGTCAATTCCAAGTTCATCATGCACACCGCCTAATAGATCGAAGTCTTTTGAAAATCTAAGTGAAAGACATAAAAGAAAAAGAACTCAGGAAGTAAGAAATAATCAAGAAATGGTCGATTTCATTGTAAAAAAAAAATTGAAATCTGATGAGGCGCAATTTGTTTACGATTTTGTTCAAAAATATCCAGAACATGTTGAAAAAGTGAAGCAATTCTGTGAACAACTATTAGATGGGACGGGATCTATTGACAAAGACTGCGTTGAGTACTTATGTTTCAGCGAAATTAACACGAAATCAATATAATATTATTCGTGATGTTACAAAATTTGAATTTAGAAAATTACCAAATTTTGCAGTGCAATTTTGCAGTGCAAAATGTTCGACTTATTATTAAATGTCAACTACATGATTATTTAATTTGACAATAATAATTGAGTTATTATTAAATTATTTGATATTTTAGGAAGATTAGAACTGTTCAGAGATTGTTATTCTTCAACAACAAAATTAATTACACTGTAATAATTCTTTTTTTTCTTTATTTAAGTGAATGAATTTTGCTATATGTCGATAAAGCATTTGTTAACTGTATAAATTATTTTAATTATAATTAAATTGATTTTTTAGTTTACAAACTTGAAGTATATTATTCTTAGTTAATATATACCAAATTTCAAGTTTTTTTATCGAAAAATATTAAAACTATACGTCAATGACCGCGAAAAGAGGTATTCGCCCCACTGTGCGCCGGTAAGCGTGTCAAACCTCGTTGCTTTATTCAATGAATGTTAATAATTACTACTATACTTTTGGTTGGGCGCCAGGCGCGGGTTAACGCGCCGCACGAACAAATTACGTTAGAGACAATACTTTATTTAAAATAACAACGGCGATAAGCGCGACTAGCTCACTCTACAAATGGCAGAGGGGCGAGGTTCTTTAGAGAAGCTCAAGACTGATTTGGAGAGAGGAGTCTGAAAGAAGGTGGTTATTAAGAACACATTCATTTGATAACAAGTAACATTTAATTCTATTAATTAGATTAAGTAAGATTGACGCCGGTTGATAGGCGCCTTAAGAATCCCGCGGAGGGGAGACATATTTTATCTCTGTGAGAGGCGTTATGATTCCGATGTTCGACTCGCGGAAATCCGCGTACTTCCGTCTCACGTGGTATAATATTCGGCGTACAACTTCTATAACTTTCATTAGATACGGTTGTTACAATTAACTCTACTGTAATCTTTCTCCATAACGGTTAGCCTACAATACAAATTCGGTCTCAGTATTATTCTTACGGTTCTGAATGTAAACGCTCGACAGAAGGTCGAGGCGAGAGATACGCGATAGGCTAACTCCAAAGATTCTAACACTCGGTACAGCAATACACAAATTGACGCGAAATTGTTACGCACAGAAAGACATTATTCTATACAAACGACTGTCGGCTCGGCAGCCCCGAAGGGAAAGAAGGCATAGCGAAATCTTAGTCTACAGAAGCGGTAGTCAGCGGGGCCCGGCCAAAATCTAACCTCGCACGATACCGCGAGACATCTCGGGATATGCTATATTCTTTACGCAAAATATGCGGGTTCTTAATTCCGCGAGGCTCGGGCCGCCTACTGATACCGCTCTTACCGCGAAGTCGAAGTGATGGCCTTACAAATCGTCGGTACGCCCGTAGTGGTCCTCAAGGTTCCGCCCAGGTTGCCGACTCGCCGAACAGTGACGACAGCGAGGCTCACCGGACAGCGGTGACATTCCGCGCATCGTCCTGCGCATGTAGATCCTCACTATCGATTAGCGCGTCTTGATCCTTCGATATTTCCTCGATCTCGCGATTCTCGCGTCGCTCCTCGATATATCGGCCCTCGGTGACGCTTTTCCGATGTGACCCCGGTCTCTCTCTTCTGGCAGCTGCTGTTAACGCCCTTCGTGGCCTTTTCCGTTTCCGGATCCGAACCTTCTTTGAATCGGCCGGGAACTGGCCAGGTTCCGACCGGATTCTTCTTTCCTGGCTCGTTACAACAGCTCCTTGTTCGGGTGCTCCACCCCGGGTCTTTGGCGTGTGAGAGCGCGCTTCCCTCTCGGGCGTCATCTCTCTCGGTGCGTCCACCGGCCTCGATATGCTCCGTATCTGAAATCGTAACTGCGGTAGCGATTGTGTCGAGAATCGAACTTTACAAGCAGGGGTATTTTTACTTGCCCTTAGTCTGGATCTGTCTGCACGCCGTCCGGGCCTCCGTCGTCCTGTCTGCTGAGTCCCTCGCAGGTCCCACGAAGGCTGCTCCACCTCAATAACAATATGGGAGTTTGGCCACTCACCACGAATCGCATAATTCGCTACAACGCAAAATCTACAATCTCCAAAAGAGAATTAAGAGGGAGAGGTCGTCGCCCCCCGCGGTGGGGTTTCCGACCTCAAATTTCCCTCCTCGATCGGGCTTTCTCGCCCTTGTGACGGACTTCAAAAATGTCACGTCACAAGCTTTAATAACAATTTTAGTAAACTTTTCTTCCTCAAATATGTGATAACATATTGTATGTCATTTTTATATTTATTTTGCGACTATTGCACAACACAAGTGCGGTATAAACGATGCGTCATGCAGCGCGACACATATAATGTGATACTTAATGACTCATTTTTGAAAGATGCGATTTCGGAACATAATTAAAATCATATATGGTTGAATTCAGCGTAAAAAATGCTACAACTTTTGTCATTACAAAAATTTTGAAATTCGAAAAAATAATAACAAGGGATGGGGGTAAATTAAAAAAATAACATTTTTTGAAAATCCAACTACACAGTTATATAGCCCATTACTTACCTGCCCATTACAAGCCCTACAATTTCTATTTGAAACATTTTTTTATATCTTCTACGGTTTTGGCGATAGTTACACACAAAGAAAAAAACCATTTTTTTTTCAAAGAGGTGTTTCACCCCTTAAATTTGAGATAGAGCCGCTATAAAAAAATACGTGTCTCCTCAAATTGTATGTTTTACAGCATATTTCAAGGAGAATCAAATCGGAGGGGGGGGACACTTGTGAACGTTGTCTTAGTGAACAGGATTTTTCTACTCTCACATCCTAAATTTTACCAAAAGAATTTATCCATCGCTATTAATATACTTATAATGAATTGTTATCCGTTGCCAGTGATCTTCGAAAATATGAATAACCGATTGAAGTCTCTAATCCACAACCATCATAGAAATGATTATAATCTTGCACGCAACAATAACATTAAGGATAGCTTAAAAACTTTCTTTACGATACCTTTCATAGATTCTATTGCTAGTGATTTTACCTCGATTGTTAGAGACACGGATTTTAATTATTAATATTTGGCCTTTTCAATCCCTAAAAATCTAAAAAAATTCATCAAAACGGGGAAAGACAATTTGGATTTGTTGTCAGTAGTATAGCTAGGCGGGTTCTAACCCAGGAGCAATGAGGGGGTGCGGGGGAAGAGGGGAAGAGGGAGTATCGGATTACGTGCGTCAGCACTTCTGAAGGGGAGGGGGGTATTGGATTACGCTGCGTCAGCACTTTGGAGGGGAGGGGGGTATTGGATTACGCTGCATCAGCACTTTTAAAGGGGAAGGAAGCATCCGACATATTTTTAGATAGATTAGAGTGTAAAGAATATAAAAATATGTGAAAAATTAAAATTTATGCAACTTTTTTTTCCGCCCATTGACCGATTTTTGAACGTTTCGCCCCACTGTGCGCCGTGGCGACCAGCGAACCCACTCCTCGACCGAACACTCCGGAACCGGTAAGACCGGGGACGCACTCCGGGAGTGAACGGTCCTCACTGCTCGACCCTGCCTCGGAATAATTCCGAGCGGCCCGAGTAGCTACACCCCCGCCATCCGACCCTGCCTCGGAAACGTCCGAGCGGCTCGGAATGGCCCAGCCCGACGTGCCCGGGAGTTCCGGGACATCGACGGCCCGTCACTCTCCTTCACGACCGTGTACTCATGGACCACGTCCACGAGCCGTTTGGCCGGAGAGGGAGAGTCGTTCTTGTGAGACACCGCTTCCCCCCCATGCCAGACCGCACCCTTTCCCCTCCCAAGATTGGAAGAGGAAGGGTCGGCCCCAGACACAAGGAGGACCGGCACCCACATCCCATCCCTTTAGACGGGGTCACCGAAGTGACCCCACCAGAGACCCGTCCCGCCGGAGCAGCAGCCCCGGCCAACGACAGGCCTCAACCGTCGGGGGGACGGCGACCCCCCTCGGCCAGCCGCCCCACTGGGCTAACGAGCCTGGCGCCCGTGCATGGAGGGGAGATAGAAATCTCCCCCTAACGGTGCCATGCCACCGGGGGTTTGAAGTCAGAGTCCCCGTCTCCTACCAGCGATTGGGACAAGTCCCTAAGGAGTCGCTGGGCTCCTCTTGTTCCCTCCAGCGAGGGAACTGTGCGCTCTTGGCACCGCAAGACGACTCCAGCGAGCCGCCGCACGGTGAGCCCTCTCACCACAACATGGTGGCGCACAACGAGAGGGCGCAGCAGCGGACCTCGCCCGGCTGCAGACGGCTCCGGGGACCCCGAAGATGCTGCACCCGGAAGGACCGGAGTATGGCCCGGCCAGCCTAACCAGTCTCTTCCGGGAACCTCGACTCATCGACACGTTAACGGCCGAAAGATTTGAGGAAACCACAGAGAGCGGAGGGGGGCGCCCTGGATGAACTGTGGGCGGTTCTCAGGGGCCCCCTTTTCGGAAAATCGGCAGGATGCGCAGGAAGGCGACGCGGACTTGGAGAGGACCTACGTGCAGAGCCGAGAAGAGCCACTGTTCGGTGTGCCGCAAGTGCGCGAAGACGACATCGAGGACTCAGCCCGACGACGCCGAAGACGCCGAAGACGTCCACTCATTGTAAGCCGCCTCTCGGGTAACCGTAGAGTTCCGTCCGGTGATGGCTGGTAGCGTGAGTTTGTTTTATATGTAGTGTCTCTCACACCATTAACCGTAGTTTTCGATACCGTGAGCGCTCAATTACGCTCAATTACCGCATGTTCAGCCAGCTCCGGATATTGCGTAAGAGTCTCTCCGTCTTGCGAGAAAATCCAACAGGTAGATTAGCTCGATGGGCTCTTGAATTATTAGAGTACGATTACGAGGTAATTCATAGAAAAGGTGCCTTACATCACGTGCCTGATGCACTCTCTCACATGTTCGAAACTCAAGTTACCGTGGAAAATTCAGATACCGTTACCGATACCGTTAATTTGGTTACCGAAAATGATACCGCTGGCGCGCTTGCCGCTGCCGATACCGCTCCGGGGATAGATACGAAGGATGATTGGTACCGCAAAAGATATAAAGAGGTGATATCAAGTCCGAGTAAATACACGCAATGGAAGGTCGTGGACGGGCAGTTGTACTTTTTAAGGCCGAAACGCGTGATTTCCGAGATAGTCGAAGACCTCGACCGGTGGAAATTAGTCCTACCGAAAGAATTGCGCCGAGAAGCCTTAAAAGACTCGCACGACGCGCCGCAGGCAGGTCACCTGGGCGTAGAGAAAACTTATCAGCGTATCGCCGTTTCTTATTTCTGGCCGAATTTGTTTCGGGATGTTACCGATTACGTGCGAGCGTGTGATATTTGCCAGCGCACCAAGGTCAAACAAACGGGTCCCGCAGGTCTCATGGGTCGCTGAATTGCGGACGGCCCATGGAAAACCGTAGCTGCCGATATCATAGGGCCATTGCCGCGTAGTAAATCGGGATTTCAGTACATTCTCGTTATTCAGGATTTGTTCACAAATGGATGGAGTGCAAGGCACTCAGATCTGCTACCGGAATCAAAATTAAAGAGGCCCTCGAAGATTTAGTAATCTCTCGGTGGGCGCTCCGAATTTTATGACGGATAACGGTACCGAATTT